ACAACTGAGGACCGCAACTCCCGCGTCGATGACACACCAGGGGAGCGGCCCTATTGCTGTACCAAGTGCTCAGCCCAGTTCACCCTACGAAAGCACTTGGGCGTGCACATGGCCAGAAGCCATGGTGTCATTGCCCCAGCACGGATGTATGCGGCAGAGCCTGTTTGTATTGCATGCATGAGGTATTTTCACACACTGCCTCGTGCTCAGCAACACCTTAAGGCCTCCAAGATGTGCCTTCTCCGAGCCAGTGCGCTCATGCCTCCCTTGACTTTGGAGGAGGTTCGTGAGGCAGAACGTTCTGACAAACTCAAGGTTCGGAGTATCAGGCATGGGCAATGGGGGCAATACACCGCCGCTTTGCCTATACTACCCGTCTTTGGGCCTCCCCAGCCCTCCAGAGATGAGTTACGAGCCTACCTAGGCGAGGCAGCTCCTCTTACTCTTTTGGTCGACCCGCCAGTCGACGTGGACTTACTTGCCTGGGTTCGTAGGGAGGCTGGCTACACTACCTCCGAGCCTGCCCGCGTAGGTACTTCCTCCTTTTGGCACCGCCGAGTCGGCACATAATGCGCTGACCGGCTTTGGCTGCGGGGACGGTTTTTGCGTTCGCGTGCCGGGTCAATCCCCAAGGCCACTATGCGGCTGATTTCTGCACGTGCCGGAGGCATAGTGCATACAGCTGCCGTAGAATTCATTGCGCGATTTTTGAGACGCGTCAGTTGACACTGGAGTCTGCTGAAGAAGAAGAAGAATATTATATAGCATAGTATAAGAGGACATAATATAACAATATAATATAATATATTATAATATAGATAGGGAGAGAGAGATTTTTATATACAGATGTGTACTGTGACAAACAAGTACGCAGAGACTGAACTGTACACGCAGCACGCACGAAGGTTGTGAGACTCTGGCAGTGATAACCACACTGGTCTGCCTTCTGCCCGATAGGGCCCCTAACACCCCAAGCCCCAAACCTGAAACCCTGGACCCCAACAATAAATCCGCCAGACCATGGATAGTTCGTAGATGGGGCAAGGGAAATCGCAGCGAATGTGCAGGCGGAAGACAGGGTCAGATGATGCCCCCCCAGAGCTTCCCTGGTCAGGAAGAGGCCATTCTCGAGGAGACTTGTGCAACTCTGACCGCAGATAAGGGCCCCTCCTTTTTTTCCGCTCCCTGTGTGTTGACCAGATCCTGTTTCAAACTTAAACTTGCAGAGTCCTTGTTTTGGATTGTGGGGCGTATTCGAGAGTTGTTAACCCGTCTTTCGCTGACTCCTCTTGCCCTCCTTTCTGCACTGCCCCGCTCCAAACGGCACACGTGCCGAAACCCCTGGTCCCTTCACCCTCCCCTGATTCTTAAGCCAGGTCTCCGAGGCCAGCACGGAGGACGGAGGCACTGGCACAGGTGGGGCGGAGCGCCAGCAGAGTTTCGGGGTTTGCGGAGCTTGGGGCTTCGGGTTTCCTTTTGGAGTTTGCAGGGTTTGCAGGGTTTGCAGGGTTTGTAGGGTTTGTAGGGTTTGCAGGGCACTTCAGGGTTTGCGGGGTTTGGGGTCGGCTCTTCTCCCCTCCGAAGGCAGTGCGTCTGAGGAGCGGATGGAGGACGGCTATGTCTACTGGCGCATGGTCTTGGGTTTGCCTTCGTCGTATTCCCTTTCCAATTTCATTCGGTAGTATGAAGCGGTTTAGGGTTACGTGAAGGAGGTTTTCTGTAGCGAATTCGCACATTGATCAATGCAGATTCGGTTTCGTTCTGGGAGCGCCAGACATCACAAAAAGCCCCAGTATAGCTTCGGGCCTTTATAGTGGTAAATTAAATCCCCAAGAAAATCCTCTCGCCAGGACCACGTCTGGGGCTTGGAGCTGCTTCTCAGCGCACAGACGGCTGCTTTGAGCACTGCTACGCAGGACGAAATCAATGCGTCGGTGAGTGTGGCCCAGTGTGGCTTGTGTACATGTGTGTGTGTATATATATATATATAGGTATATATATATATATATGTCCTGTGCTTTAAGTGGTGTTGCCTCGCAGGACGCCGAGACCCGCCCCGTCTTCGTGCTGCCCGGGGATGCGGCGAAGTTCCCAATGAAGGCATCAGAACTACGGGGAGCGACTGCTACTTTTGCAGTTTGGTTCTGAGTGCAAGAGTGGCAGGCAATTTCCCTTCCAGAGGTTTACGGGATTTTCCAGCTCCATAGAAGTTGGACACGATCTCTGAAAGTCTGTAATCCCCGACTAAGTCCTTGAACGGCAGAAGCGCTGCCAGGTTTTGCCATCCGGTCATGCCAAGTCAGGGCTGCTCGGCTTACATTGAAATCAACAACAACATTCGGACATTTTTCTTGTGGTGCGGGTGCAGGTGGCGGTGCGGTTTGGCGGTTTTTGTCGCTGTCGCTGTTTGAGCGTTTTGCTCCTTGAGCTGGTGCTGGTGTGGTTCCCGGCTTCTGGTCAAGCGGGTGTGGTTGGCGTTGGGTCCTAGTCCTAGTCATGGTGTCGCAAAGACAAAACTCTCCTTTCTGCTTCGATCTCAGGAAGCCAGAGATCGTTGGAGGCTGTTGGCTCTCCATCTGAGCAGTTACAACCAGGGTCACCGCTGCCGGCGCTTCCTGCTTCAGTCGAGAGGCAGCACACCTAGTTTGTGTGAACCTGGCCCGTGTGTCTACGAGCCTCTCATGATTGCGAAGAGGCCCCTGCCTGCTTTTCGACTGAAGTAGTGCCACGGCTCCAAAATGACCCATAGGTTGGAAGCCCCGTAGTTGTGAATAAGTGGTGGTCCAGCTTGCTGTCGCTTGCTGGAGCACATTTCGTTTGAGGACGTAGAAGAAAACGAGCAGCCACTGCCTGCCACTCGTCGAGACGTGAAGGTATGGCAGATCGGCTCGCATCTCGGTCTGCGGGTAGCATCCCGAGCTAATCGGCACTTGAAGCTACTGGTAGAGGAATTATGGTATTTGCAAGTCTCAGCAGATTGCAAACCCTTGCCCGTGTGGGGAGGGAGAGGGAGAGAGAGGGAGCAGTCCTTGTCCCTAGCCCTGGCGAAAGAAAGAGAGAAGTGCCGCGGCCAGTGATGAGTTGGCTTTAGGTTTCCCGGGCTGACAAGGCCATGGCTTGTCAGCGAATACGGATGCCGCAGAAAGCGACAAAGTGGTACGAGCTTTCTGCACCTGTTCCATTTAAGCTGAACCAACTTCGGGCCAGCTCGGGGTTCAGCAAATTTTTGTATCCTCCTTGCAAGGTGCGGTGAAGTGCCTCGCATTTGCTTCCTTGGAGTGACAGCCGGGATCATGATAAGCTCCTTCTCTTGCTTAGAGGCTTAGGCCCCCTGTGTTCCTGTAGTCAGGCTCAGTTCCATCCGCGAGGGGAGGGAGGTGCGTGACCCGGCAGGACTTCGGAGCGCATGAGTCTGAGGATGACCCGAGGAGGAGTCATCTCAAAGGTATTTCAAGGTTCTAACTACGTCCCCCGGGAGCTCTCAGAGGATCTCAATACGTTAGGTCTTGGGACGCTGAGCCCACAGGCCCCATCGCTCTAGCGAGCCCTATAAGAGTCGGCCCTTAGGCCCTCAAAACTCGGTTACTCCCCCTAAAGCTTTCAAAGGAGCTCGGCTCGGCTTCTCTTACAGGGTCCGATGAGAGCGCCCCGTCCTGGGGATACTTTGGAGACGGTGTGCGATAACAGAGCTTTCTTCGAGAAAGGGCGATGTTTCGTGAGACCAGAAGAGTGGTTTCAATCTTATAGATGCACATACTGGCAGAGGGACGCATGTGTATAGGATATCTGCAGGCGGGTAATTGGGTAGGTCGGGGCACAAGTGTGCGAAGACATCTATGTGAGTGTAGAGATGCAAATGTGGATGTAGCTCTCTGCACCCAGTTCTGCATCTTGCGCTGGAGTTATGGGAGGATTACGTATTTTGTAGCATCGCGGCTTGGTGGTTGTAGGGTAGTACAACGGCAGAGGGCATGGGTTGTGACGGCTCCTGAGTTCGGTTGTAGGGTTTTGGGGGTTTTTGTACAGAAGCTTGTTAGGAAGGACCCCTTAACGAAGAAGCGAATGGCCAGTGCAGGCAAGGAGAGCAGAAGCTCTGCCGAAAGAGCTGTGGCCCTTTGGAGGATGCCACATCCTGCTCTCCTTTTTCGTAGTCGCCGAGTTTGGTTGCAGGTGTTCCAGCGTCCGGATTTTCACAGATTCTTGACCCTTGGGCTGAGGAGATTTCCGTTTCTGAATCCAGAGACTGGCTGCACCAGATCCAGTTCGTAAGTTGCACGGAATATGAATCATGCTTCAAAGAGAAGGCAAAGTTGCAAGGAATTCGATCCCAAACATTTTGTCACGGAGGCGCCCGGGAGCCAAGGTCTTTGCACAGAATCCCCCAGAATGCTCACAGCAAGTCTTAAGATGCGAAGAGCTTCACATGATTGCAGGGAGGCCGCGACTCACAGTGGCCAGTTTTGCTCCGTGCGGACAAAGCGCCCCCGAACACCTCGTTTATCCCAATGCCCCGATAGGCACCCGGTTACAAACGGGGCGCCGAAGCTGGGGAAAATTGGAATGAGGCAGACCCAGACCCGTCTAGTCACTTTGAAATCCCGAGCACGCAGAAAAGCAGGATGCTCTCTGCTGTTATCTGCTGTACCAGGTACCCTACTCGTACGTACACTGTAAGGACACGATCCCGAAAACCGCGATCTACCAGATTCCATAGTGTAGATCCTGTAATACAACAGCCGCACCAAAGTCCCCCGTTTGCCTTTTTGGGCTCCTTTCGAAAGAGGCTGCCTCTGGGTGTCCTATCGTTCCGCTTCTTTTCCAGTTCCGGAGCCATGGCGCTGGCCCGGAAGCCCAGCGAAGCCCAGCGAAGCCCAGCGAAGCCCAGCGAAGACTCAGAGAGGAGCAGCGAGTTTCTGTAGGACAGGATCTTTGAGACTCTTAGACTCTTAGAGTTTGGATTCTAGGACCAGATAAACTATCGAAGTTAGTTAGAAAAGCACTTTCCAGCCCAGCCACCCAAACTTAAAGTCTCTCAGGCAGCCTTCATCAATAGCCCCACGGGGCCGATGACCACGCACTTCTGGGGGCCCATCGCCAACTGGGGCCTGGCGGCCTCGGGGATGCGAGCCCACCACGGGTAATAAAGACCTGTTCTTTTTTCAAGCGGTTCTTTACTGAAAGCGCTCTCTTTAAGCTTGTTGAAAGCGCTCTTAGAGCGGGGATGTTGTCTTTGGGGTTTGCAGGGGTTTTTGGATTTGTTTTGCGGCCGTGAGGATCCGTTGACAGGGAGAGGGGTGGTCGGGGTGGTCGAGTGTCATCATGTTCCGTTGCCCCTCGTGCTAGCCGGCGGTTGAGCCAGCCTCATCAGGTACGACGCAGCTTTGAAGGGTCCGGAGATTATCAACGAGCGCATGTCCGCGACGCAGGCCGGAGCGCGCGCTTTCGCAGGCCGAGCTGAAGAGCGGGCCATTCTCGCCGACAGATCCTGTACAGCGGGCTCTTCGTTCGCTTTGCATGGGCCGTGCAACCACGGAACTACATCCTGGCCTCCTGCTTGGGCCCCAGGTAAAGTGTACGTGGCTTGAAAGGCATTAGAGGCGCTTGGAGGTCATACGGCCAACGTCCTGGCACAGGGCAACCAGCTGCGACGGTGCAGAGCTCAGCTCTTCTTCAGAAAGTCTTATGAGATTGCCAAAAAAGAGTCACACAATTTGTGGATTCTGCGCAGGTGGGGAGAGTACAAGATTCAAACAGAACCCGAGACAGGCCCAAGCACGGTGCGTGGTCGGCCCAGGCTGCATTGCAGCATTGCGTCCTGCGCGGGGAGAAAAGCCGAGGCAACGCGAGCATCATGGCGGCAGGAGCAGCCGCAGGAGTGGACCTTTGTCGCTTTTCGAGAAGAGCTGAAGTCGGTCTGAAATCGAGCGCAGGCATAGCCGCCATGGTCGTCGCTAGCACGTGAGGACCTCAGTGGGCCCAGCGGGCAATTTGTATGTTGCAGGGCCTTGCATGGCTCATGGCACAGCCGAGGCCTGTCCAAAACAGCCTGAAGGGGTGCGCCCTCCGCAGTCTTGAAAGAAGTCTTTCAGCCTAGGTGAGGCCTTCCGAGAGCCAGCGATGTACTTGTTTTGGAAAGCATGCTGTGTCCGACAGTATACGACGTATACGAGTCTTGTGCAGTCAAAGAGCGACAGCCGGAAACTCACACGTGTGAAGGGGCAGTGGCTTCCTTGCACGTATGGCTACCCATCCAGCAACTTGGATGCGCTAGTATGGTGACGCAGCGAACAATACATAACTCCTGCACGTCATCAGAACCAGGCAGGCCCCTTCTACATCCACTTCTGGGCCTGTGCCTGAGGGGTCTTGCTGCGTGATGCTTTGCCTGATGGCAGTAGAGGCTCCCAATTTCAAATGGGCCCTCTCCATTAACAACCTCATGGACCGGCACTTAGATCTCGAGCCGAGCTGCTCAATGTCTGCTTGTAAATCGGCTTCCTTTGCTTGGCTTCTCGGCTTCACCAGGATTACGACCGTCCCACAGACAAGATCAGCCTCTCCATGTCTGCAACTCAGGAAAGCAAACGATACGTAGCGGTGGCCCAGTGCACGTACGAATATGTTTCTATGCAAAGGTGTGTACAGAAGCATACGTACACGGATACATTATATGTGTATGTGTATGTGTATGCACACGCGTGTTTTTTCGCATTATGTTCTACAAGTACATACTTGTCTGCATTTCTCTGCATACACACATGTATACATACGCATAGAGAGATAGCCCGAACGGTCCGGGGTAGGATTCTGGATCCTTCAACGGGGCCCAGCCTCACCGCGAGGACCAGCGCCCTGACCCTGACGGGTCTGATCTTCATGCGCTGGTCCTTCGTTCGGGCCGCAGCTATCGCGGCTGTTCAACCCAGGTTCTCGCCAGTCTCCAGGCATGGGGCGTCTCAAGGTCATATGGTCTGTGTATGTACATGTGTATACATATATATATATATATTTTAGGGTTTAGGGTGTTTGGGTTTAGCGTTTAGGGTTCCCTAAACCCTAAACCCTAAACCTAAACCCTAAACCCTAAACCCTAAACCCGAAAAACAAAAAATATATATATATATATATCTACATAGAGAGATGCACTATATGACTTCCTGCATCTGCATGTGCACATATACAGAGAGCTGTCGGTTTAGGATTCCACGATTTAGGTCGACGTATGTGAGAATGCCCTATCCACCTCGACATAAGGTGATTACACCGGTGAATTACAGCCTCTTTGCCGCGCGCCCAGTTGAAAGAGCCCGGACACAAGTGACGCTTGACATCGACACAGCAGAAGAAAGGCGTTGACACTGAGCTTTTCGCCTGTTGCCATGGCGGAAGGCTGTGAACTGTGCCTTGTCGTCGTCCTCTGGATATTTGCTGGCAAGGAAGGTGAAGGCGCCTTGCGACAGTCATGTCATGCAGCCTTGCCTATGGCCCTACTCTAGTCTCCGTTGTAGCTGCTTTTTTGGGTTACCTGATAAGATCCCGAAGAAAGTATTGGTGAAGCCTAAAAGCAGCTACAACGGAGACTATAGGTACCTTGCCTTTGCTCAGGCAGACTACTTCGACAAGTAGTGGACCTGATCTCTGCTGGCAGACGTGTACACAGAAGCTGCGAAGAAGTAGCCTCGGGAGGTTTCCCAACGAAGGCCCCCATTGAAAAGTGGCCGAGCTCAAGCGCTGGGCCTCCCTTCCTTGGGGGGACGAATGGGAACCTTCCCCTGAAAGAAGCCCCTGGGCCCTGATGAAGAAACACGAATTACATGCCGAAAGGCTTCGGCATCCCCAAAGTCTACTCGGATCCCTTTCCGGGACACCCCCCATGTAGGCCCTAAGAGGCTGCTTCATCGGGTCCCTACACATTGACTCTTTTCAATGTCTGGCTGTCCAGTTTGTCAAGGAGTGCATGAAGAAGACGTGTGCTGCCACGATCGCTTGCGAGGTTTCCACCAGAAAATGCGCCGAGTTCAGGGCTGCAAAGTAAGCAGGTAAACGGAGCTCCAGCGTGATGCAGTTGTCGCAGCGCGCAGTTGGATGCGAACATGTTTCATTGTAACCGTCTGTCTTCCCGGGAACATCACTCAGCTCTGACGACGAACGTGGGGAAGACAACGATAGCGATGACAGTGGCGATCACGATGAGGCAGAGGACGCGGAGGAGGTTGATGGTCACGTGATGGTGACCTCGACTGTCGTGCTTCAAACATGAGCTTGCTGCACGAAGCTGCCATTGCTTGCACCTTTCGTTTCCTCACGGCAGCCCCGAGTCAACGCAGTCTGTAGAGCTTGGCAATGGAAGGGCTTCTTCCTTGAAGCGCCTGCCTTGCAGCCCCCGAAGGCATCACCGGGGCCGTCCTCAGTGTTTGTTTCGTTCCTGCCAGAGGCTCCCCGTGTCTTGTTGACAGGGAGACAGAAGATGCAGAGCCCCTGTTTCGCCTTGCCGCTCGCGGACCGTGAGGGGGCTTCATCTTTTTTTGGAAGACCAAATTTCTGAGGCACACGATAGGTTTTCCGCAAATTTCAGCGGTCTCAGAAATTCATAGACTCTGCGGACTATGGGAGCTCTTCTCACGAGCATGACAGCTGTGTGGTGACGGATCTCGCTCAACGGCTGCAGCGCGACTCGGCCCGTCGCATGACCGTAGCCTGACATGTGCAAGTCTCCCGCGTCCACCAGCCGTCGCGAGTGTAAGTCGCGACATCTCGCAGATTCTGCCAGGAGCCAGGCCGGCTCCGTCTTCTCTTGACTGACAACCTGCCACGCAAAGACGCAAGCAGCCTGGGCCACTGGTCCCAACAACGAAAAAGGTGGGGCATGATTGGGCCTCGCTCGCTTTTTTGACCCGGCCCTTGCCCGGGTCATCTTACGTCAGCTTCCGGCCAAGACCGTCATAAACCGTATCGCCAGGGTATCCTTCCACAGGTCTTCTCTGATCGCTAGGTCGGCCCCTGCTGGCCTTGCGCCCCTGACGGAAAGGGCGCCGCCGCCCGAAATCACGTCGTTATATATATATATATATATATCTGTGTGTGTGTGTGTGTATAGAGACAGAGAGAAAGAAGGGGGGTTATTGTCGCATGATTCTCACCACTCTTGTGCAGTAGTCATCAGAGACCCCAAAGCCAACCAATCAAACAGGGGGTGGTTGGGCGGGCCAATGGCCTGAGGGTCGAGCGATCGACCCCTAAGCCCTGCAGAAAGAGAGAGAGAGAGAGAGAGACGCTGCAACTTAAAGAATACTATTATTCGCATCGCCTATATTTCCAATTCTTGTCACGGTCGAGCCAACAGCCACTGACTCGTTGGGCTTGCCACGCTTGAGTGTTTACATAAGGTGTTGAGACCGTGGGAAGTGCGAGCCAGTCACCCGTTTTCGGATTTTTGGGAACCGGCAACAGCCGCGTTGAAGCCTCTCTATATTTGGTACAGGCCTCGCACTGATGGCTTTCCGTAGTTTTTCGTGCAACGGAACCCTGTCTGCGGCCGGAAACAAAAGGCTAAGAAAAACAAAAAGACACGCCCGCACTCGTCGCCTGTCAACGCTGCTGTGGACGCCCCGCATCAATTGCAAAAAAGTGCTTTAGGGAAAAAGACAAACCGGTCACGGCCATCAATCGCGATGTGCTTGACGAAGAAATGCCGCATTCCGGTAACAGTGACACCAGAGAAGCCCAGCAGCGCAATGGGATCGCAATGCTTTTCACTCGAAAACCTTTGCCCAACAAAGCAAGCGCTAGGACCAAACCTGGGACGATCTGCAAGCTTCCGCTCCGGGTTCCGCGCATGGGGCCTCGCGGCAGGACATGCTACCCGTCATCAGCGTGCGAGCACTTGCAGCTGCAGCAAGACTCCGTCAAGCTTTACGAGGTGAAGCCGCGCTCCCCCGCTGCCGTCGCAGGCGCTGCGCAAACGCGCCCGCGCCAGGACGGCCACGATGTGCCCCGATTGGGATGCCCAGCCGCGAGCCCGCTCCCTCCCAGCGCTCGTCGCCCGGGCGCGGACTCCAGGCCCCACTTGGTTCTGGCCCTAAGTCGTTGCGCGCCGCCAAAAGTCGTAGCAATCCCGCGTCACCCTGCGGAAACGTATTACCAACCCATATAATCCACCACTGTGATAACATCTTGCATGCTTGTTTGTGCAACGTCACACTGGGGTATCGTATTTTCGTGTTAGCCCATCGTTATTGGGAATCGAGCGTCTACGTGGGGACTGGCTGCTTTTGATGTGTTGTGCTGATCTGTGACTCAAGTGAGAGTGGTTGACTCACTGACGTGTTTTTCGAGCTAGTGCTGGCAAAACCGGGCGTCTACATAGAGAATGGCTGGTTTTGATGTGCTGCTAGGCCACTGATGTGTCTCTTCTGCGGGTGCTTGCGAAATCGGGCGTCTGCATGAGGAGTCGTAATCCACTATTGTGATAACATCTTGCATGCTCGTCTATGCAGCGTCACCTCGCGGAAGCGTGTTGCCAACCCATGTAATCCACTACTGGGTCCAAGGGTTAAGTCGCATGCTGCCCCTGCAGTTGTCTCGAGTGGGTGCTTGTGGAATCGAGCGTCTAGAGGGGGAATGGCTGGTTTTGATGTGATGTGCTGTCGAGCGTCTAGATGGGGAATGTGGCAGGTTGTGATGTGCGGTCATGCCACTGATGTGCTGCCTAAATTTGCGAAGACGTGCAAATTCACAGGGATGGGTAATTATGTAGCCTCAAATCACACCCGAGGACCATTTACTGATCTACGACCTGGTATCGTTCATTCTGACATAAATCTTAAGAGTCGGCTATGAAAATGGCCGCAGACACCCAAGAGGGTACCAGTTACATACGAGAAAGCCGGGCGTCACCTTTTTAGGCTACCAACTGCTGCAGCCGCTGACTGATGTATGTCTGCCGGGCACGCTTGTGAAATCAAGCGTCTACATGGGGAATGACTGGCTTGGACGTGCTGTGATGCCATTGATGTGTGTCTTGTATACGCGCTTGTGAATCAAGTGTCTACCTGGGGGTTGCTGTAGTCTGTGCATATTCCCAGTGCAGTCGCATCATTTCCATCGAATCGCAGAACTTTCCTGCTGTTGCGATGCCATGTCAAATCGCGCGTCACACTGGGGATTGGCCACTTGTGCTGTGACTTTTGGGCATGTGCTGCGATTGTCGCCGGTTCGAGCGTCACCTGCCGCGACATTGGGCGACCACTAGTAGCTGCATAAAGGTTGGCAGCCGAGCATGCGATGAGCGCCCGTTGGAGAAACGGTTTTTTGAACTCCCACGCGTCCCGTGAGCTGCTGCTCTCGCAAGCAGGACGTCCAACGAATCGCCATAAGACGGTCTCCGCAAACTTCGACGAGCAGCGCTCCGTGCTCGACCTGAACATACGGTCAGGGCATGTCAGGGCACTTGTTTTGTCAAGAGCAAAAGTCTTAGCACAATGTAACGGTCTGCAAGTTGACAATGGACAACATCTCGGCGAACTCTCCGCCGCCGGCCGCTCACTCACCGCCGAGCTTCTGGCCGCAGGCGACGAGGCCACCCTCGCTGAGCAGAAGTGTTTACTTTTTTTTTTGGCGCATGCCCCATGTTGCTGTGTTGCCTGCGAGGGGCACGCCGTGGCTCCGCGGCGGGGCACTTTCGTGGCATGTCTGTGTCTCTGTGTCTGAGGCCAAGATAAACATAGCGCGACGGGGGATGAGCAGTGGAATGTGGTAACGATATGTGTACGAAGGCAGGAAACTTCGAGTTTTTCGCAGCATGTCGGTGTCTGAGGCGCCAAGGAAAAAAAAGAAAAGCCTAGCGAGGGTACCGAGCAGCGCGATGCCGCGGTATGCTGCCCCGATGTATG